AACAAGATGGAATTGGCTCTCCTCTGAATTTTGTTGAAAGAACTACTGCATGTGTTCACCATGGAACTTCACTCCGCGGATTTGAATAGACCCGCCAGACGGCATAGTGCACACTGGACTCCTGGAGTGCATCCTGCCTAGGCAGGGTGTACTCCTGGAGTACGATTTTTGGGGACTACACTGTGCCGCCCACATCGGATACACCATATGATTGCTGTCTTCACATACGGGAACCCCAAGTAATATTCGTGGTTTTTTATGTCAAGTGTGTATGGAAGAAGTCCTAGAACCACAACAGAAGTGAGTTCCTGACGAAATGGGCCCTAGAACCCCGGATGACAGATTACCAACTGATCAAGACAGGGTGAGACAATCGCGAACAATATTTCCATGCACAATGACTCGGAACTTTTGAGCCTAGCTCGGTGATGAAGCTCGTAAAGATTAAGCTTCATGAAATTTCGGGGAATTGAAAGAAATCTTCACAAACTCTTCAGTTCTCAGGTTTCCCATCCGCTCAACGTGTAAATCGAAAAGGAACGCCGTTCTAAGTTTCAAGAGCACTGTTGAACAAACTGAAGCTCACTTCAGCATAGATTGGGAATGCGCCTACCTCTCTCGTTTTGTGATAATGATACTGTATTGCATTAATGTGTAATTCGTCCGCAAATCGAGAACACTTTTGTCACGAAGTATTTTCCACAAAAATGCCCAAAATCTGGAATGCAGTACAAGATAAGACATTGAGTGGAGATACTGAGGAAAAGTGGCGTTTTATAACCGCACGCTCATCTAACGCAATAATCCTGAAAACTTGGGGGATGTTCCCTGCTTTACCTTCTTCACTGCCTTGATTGCATCAATATAAACGGACCGAGAATGAACTGGATTAGACTGGACTGCTTTCTGAAGACTTCATCGAACCATAGACCGTACACAGCTGAGCCGTATCCTTACTGATCCGGTTCCAACACGCATCGGAAGCCGGCACAAACTGGACCACGTTTCACATCCTTATAATGATACTGTACTGTACCCGAAACTCTGAATTTACGCATACATAGTCGAAAGATTAAGGTAATCGGATACGTAAAGTGATATGCATCCGTTCGCTGAAACCTCCATTAGCACGAACCTAAATCTAACATCAACTGCTCAGAACCTGTGCTTACGAGTCAGGAAGTCAGAGCTTTATAAAAGTCAGGAATAACTTCTTCATTGAAGGGTACCCGAAATAGGAGAGTGTACGTTATGCACGTACGGTGTTTCCTTCCGAAACCCTTCTCATAAGAACGGGTACTTCGATGCCTGTGTTGTGCATTTTGTACTTCGGTAACCTGATGATGCCTCGAACATGAAGGCCCTATGTTTCATATGCCAGATATGTAACTCCCATATTGATTAACAAACCCCAGTTTTGAGAGGTAAGTAACTTGAACGGCAGCAAATGGCGTGCTAACCCAGAAATGGAGCCTAGGTTTACGTCCGAAGTCCAGACCATACGTACAATCCACAAATTGAAGTCATTTCTAAATGTAGGACGTGCATGCGGCTTGATTTGCAGTGAGGGATTCACTTTATTTTTTACGATAGGCATTATGAAGAACATCCAGCGGGAAAATAGGGATTTCGGGGGTTACGATAAATGGGGCATCCCCGCAGATTTTGAGCGTAAAAATGTGAATCTCATTATCTTAGTGAGTTGGATTGGACCGATTTCCCCGTAAACAATTGATCATACGAAGGATTTAACATTACAAAATTAATTGAATATCAGGACTTCCCTCATTTTCAGAACCCGACGGCAATCACTTCGATATGAGTGTGAGCCATCAGCAGGCTGTTGACCAGAAATTATCTAGTCATTAGTGAAGTAATCCCTGCCGATTTTGGCACTTGTTCGTGAACAAATTTTGATCGGGCACACCGCGCACAAATCATACATGGGAAAATTGTGAAGCGGTTCCTCCCTTTGCATCAGGTACTACAGTTTTAACCCGGGAATACACCTTGCTTTCCGGGAAATTAATCGTAAAAGATCATTTTTAGAGATTACAGAAAAATCAGTTCGGAGGTGCAGGTATAACATACTGGGAAATTTCGCCATGGATGTGGTTTACCAGGAGCAAATAAAGAATTCTCACCCTGCGCCATGTTCTTCCGTGGGATTTTCCTACCGTCTTGTTTCTGAATGTTATCCTGCTGAGTGGGTTTCATGCCGTGTGATTTTCTTTTTGGTCCCAATGGATACGGTCTCTTAGTGACGGAGGAGACGTTCACCTGGGAAACCAGGTTTTCCGGTTTGTATCCTTTCAGTAAAATGAATTCATGAAGTACAGTACCTCACCGCGAGGTTGAACCACAAGACTTCGTGGAAATTGTTCATGCTGTCTGATTGATTGAATGGAAGGCGGGCACTCGTGAAGGTCGCTGGTGTTTCCCCTCGTTTACGGTCAGTCGCTCTTGGTGAGACGTATGGTTTGGACGAGGTCAGTGGGGCGCTGGCGAGTCAAGGGCGCGTACGGAAGTGACTTGTGCAATTCATTTCCTCGCCTTCCACGAGGAAAGAGAGCAAAGCGGTGCCGAGGGACTCTTGAAGTCGATTCACCTGAGCTTGCGTGCACGCGGAAGTTCCCTGTTCAGTTCGTGCTAAGACAAAGTGCACCACTGTGATGATTTGCTGGATCGGAATTTTTGTCTATGAAAACTCGTCTCATCTCGACCAGTTTTTACTGTAGGAATGCTTTGTAAATGGTGTTCACCTACCCGATGCGTAAGCTAACTAGGGAAGGCTGCTCAGTTCGAAGTTTTTCCCAAGCTACGATTATTTGAAGTTAGAAGTCAAGTTGCCTTGGACGCGGTTTTGCCGTGTGCTTTTTCCCCAGGCTTTTTGTTGTTGTTCGTCAGGGTTCGTTACTTTTTCCACCCAAAGCATTTGTCGCACTCCGTGTAGGCATGGGCTGAGCTCGCATTAAAAATGTATCTGTTCATTCGCGAAGTACGATGTTCGCGTCGTCGGGTCGTGCTTTCGCGCGTTTTCATCGATCGTGTGCGATTCGTGCGGTGGTGCTAGTGTAGGAAAGGTTCTGCGCGACATTCTTAATCGCATCATTTGTGTGTTCATTAGTGCATGCTCAACTTGGACTGAATCGACCTTGCGACTGTTGACGAATCTCGTGATTGATTTAGTCCCTGAGCTAGCATACGTATGTAATTTCCATGTACAGTACAGTAAGTCGTACATTTTTCTCTTCGTTCGAGGTAGTGTGAAGGGGGTTTTTGTCGTTTGAATGAGGAAATCGTAGTGGATTCGTTTCACCAACGTTTCGAAGCTTATGGGCTTCACTGCGTGTACGTTGGATCCTCGTATCATTTGTGGATTCACACCAGCATGCCTGTTCCTAATCCTGCGATTGTTTGTCCACAAGATTTAAGTGATATTTTTTGACTGAAGTGCTTTTTTTTACCTGCGGTTTTTATTTATTACCTCGTGACGCAATGGAAGGGTGCGGAAAGTTCATGAAGACGAGTTTGTTCATCGCAAACTTTGTTATACTGGTAAGGACACGATTTCTGAAGCATTGTGAAGAATTTTTTGAAAACTTGAAATTTATTGAAGGTTGGCGGAATAGCCGTTCTCGCAATTGGGATCTGGACCGTGGTTGACAAGAAGTTCCTGGAAAATCTCGTGGATGTCAGTCTTTTCTTCAGCGCTGCTTACATAGAAATCGGAGCCGGTGTCGTCGCAGTTTTCATAGCATTTCTTGGTTGTTTCGGAGCGTTGAAAGAAGTCAGATGCATGCTATTGACGGTAAGAGTATATTTCATTAGTTGAGGAGGTGACACTTCGGTGTTCGATGATCCTTATTCTGGGATTCATGAGGAGCATTTCCGACATTCTGTGAAATCCATCGATTTCACGCATTTTCCGAGGGAAATCCGGTTTATTTCTTCGAATTTTTTATGTTATTTTTTAAATCTCGGGAAAATTTCAACTTTGTCTAGATTCAGATGATAAACCTCTGAACAGCCTCCTAATCAAATGAAATGCAGAAGATTTTTGACCAATAAAATACTGTATTGCTGTGGAAGCGAAATGAACTCACTCTTATCATTCACATCCCTGAAGTATACACTTACAGTATAAGTATAAGTATAACTTGATCGTCATAAACTTATGACAGAAAGTAGTCGACCGTCCCAAGGTAATCGCGCCATCTCAATGTCAAATTATGCCAATTTTTAAACGTTCCAACAAAAACCCGAATTGTCTTAAATTCGTGAAATGAATCTAGCGTTCCTTCCCCAGTATTCCCTCTTGTTGTTCCTGCTCTTCGTCGTGGTCTTGATCGCTGGGATCTTGGGCTATGTGTTCAAGATGAAGATAGAAGACCAGATCAAGATCGGATTGGACAACGCCTTGACCGAATATGATCCCAAGGTCCCGGGGTATGTCACTGAAGGATGGAACAACATGCAGCGCAAGGTAATTCAAAGTGGCGAAAGCAGATCGCTAGGTTTTTTATGTCTCTTCAAGCCCATGCGAGATTTTGCCTGTTTTATCCTGCGTTCGAATGCGTTTCTGTGATTATTTTGTAAATATTTTAAAACTTACTGAGCGGCGGCAGCTAGGAAATATGTATCAATGCCTTCGCTCTGGTTGAAATTTTGCAGGGCTTCGTGTGAAATTTTATTTTTTTTGTGATGCATTAGTTGAAATGCTGCGGTGTTGAGAGCTACACTGACTGGAGCAAAAACAGGAAGGGGATTACTGGAACTTACCCGGATTCCTGCTGTGCTCCGGGTCTTTCGGTAAATATTTTTTTTTTCAAAATTGATTCCTACTTTGAATTACTCGAATACTTTGCGTGCAGACGAGTGAAATTTCGACGTGTAAAAGCAACGCTGCGACGAGCAACAATTTTTACCGCGACCCGTGTCTGACAACTGCCAAAGCTTACTTGAAGCAGCATGGTTCCATTATTGGGGGAGTTGGAATCTCGATTGCCGTCATTATGGTGAGTATCGGTATTTTTGAATGAAATATGCCTTTCTTCTGTTCCGCAATTGAGCTCAAAAACATTAATTCTCACCTTGAGTTCGAGCTATTTGCATCCGAAAATCTGTAAGTATCAATTTTCGTGGTACCTGAGTCTCCGAACCTACTTCGTGATACAGTACTGTAATTTATTCGTGTACATTTTTTCTCGCCAAGAAAATCGAAAGACAAATTAAAATTGGAAATATTTTATGCGTTAAACCAATAATTTAGAAGGAATGTGGATCAATGAGAATATACTTCTAGAGTAAGGGAAACAAGCATTTGTTTCAGGGGAAGGAAGAAGAATTTTAGGATTGGGGATATTCTGTGCCTTGAATTGCTTCCTGAATGAGTGGGCAAGAGGCTGAACTTGGAGGCAACGGTTCATTTGCCAAACCATTCTTTCACTGCCCTTCAAACCCCATCAAGATACATTATTGTTATTCTCTTTCGTTTGTCAGTAAAATAATGGTGAAAAGGCGTCCAGATATTTTGAGTTATGGTCTATGGAGGCTTTTATTGTATTCCTTCTAAGGGAATTCAGGCAGGGATTTGAAACAAATTCGATCCAGGGAGATACTCACAAAGGTTTTAGATATTGGGGTTCAACTGTAATTAGAACATGATTAACTTAAACTCTTGGAGGATATTTAAGCCACCTTTTCTGTCTTATTTTCAGTTATTGGGCATCATCTTCGGATTTGCACTGTTCAAGATGATCGAATGATCTGTGAAATCACTCGTGTGACTCTCAACGAAAAAGGAAAAAAGAAACAAGCAAGAAGCAACTGCGTTTTTGACGTCGTGCAACGGGAAATACTTGGTAGACACTTTTTTGTTTTTTTAATTGAGAAGGAAACTTGTGAGTTACCCCTCTCGGACGCAAGGACAAAAGAAACTCGGATCTGAAGCGCCAGTTAACCGCGCTTTTTATGTATGTTTTAATATGGGATATTTATACATATTTTATGTAAGAGAGTACAGTTTTCGCACGTATTTTCAAAGTCGGAGCTAAAGATCTGCCTGGGGGATATTGAGGTACTGAGTGCCTTTTTCGATGGAATCGCGGGTACCGCTTTTGTTTGTTCCCTGAGCCGAACTGTTCAAACCCAGTGGTATCTCCATCAGTTTTGTCATCTGTAGGGAACCCGAATCTGCTAACTTTTGCGTACTACTGTCAAGCCATTCCAAGTATCATCTTCTCAAAGTCAGAGGAACCCGTTAAAGGATAGATGCCATGCTGAACGTGGATGCTAGAATTCATTGACTAATTGGTTAATTAACGTTTAATAGGCATCAAAGTAAATTTTCAATTGCTGTTTTTCTCCTTGGTACCCATGATAATTAGCCCGAAGGCCTCCAAAAATTTCAGTTACGGATATTTGAATGGAAAAATCCTTGATTTCTGGATTATACGGTACAGTACACTGTTAATTCAGACATCAACAATTGAAGATTTTTTACCGACAGAGCTTAGAGTTCCAACTGACAAAGAGTAATCATTATGTGAATTCCCTGATATTATTGCTCTTATCAAACATCCATGTCCAACATCCTGAAATAATAGGAACATTTGAGCACTTTCAAGATTGTTAAAGATCCGATGGAATTCTGATGTTATTTCTGTTCCCTATTTTAGCTGGAGTTGGAGTCAAATTTTATCGCTTTTGAAAATTAAAACCGCGTGAAGTATTCTTGTAAATCTGTTAGAGCAAACGTGAATATGTTCTTCATTTGAAAGACATACTTCATAGCGTCATGAACTCCCTCTTCTTAATTTTCATGAATAAGTCGGAGAGATTTTGAAATATCAAGTGATCATGTGTTGTCAAGATATTTTGAATCACGCTGAGAGTTGGATAAAATAGGCTGACACATTGAAAAGATGGAAGAAGAGGTTTGATGCGGGTTTTAGGATTGATGACAAACTGAAGCAACACCAACCCTTTTGGTTTTTACTTTTGTTTATGTCATATCGAAATGTCGATGAAGTAACTTAAAGAAAGAACAGATCGGGTGTGACTTGAGTGAGGATTCGGAGTATTACATGGCATGATCCGTCCAATTTATCTCTCCGTCCAGATTGTGAAGTTTGGTTTTTCTGTGCAATGGTTTTTTTTTCTCCGCTCAAAGACAACGCACACTCGATGTGATGCAGGAAACCGTTTTTGAATTATTTCTCTTGAAAGAATCGAAAAGAAAAGTTGTACAGGGTGTCCCGAAAAGTCCCTGTGGGTTGAGATATTTTGTAAAAAAAAAAAACATACGCATTTTCCTCTCTTTGTCTAATATGAAGTTAATTTCACTTGCAAAAATTCCTTCTGCGCAGTAACTTTTTTTGGACACCCTGTGTGAATGGATTTTCTGAAGAATCTGAAGCCTGGGACTCAAAATTCTTCATTTTCCTCGAAGTCTTGTGTGTTGATTGTTTCAAAGAAATGTCAGGTGTGAGCTCATTGCCCTCGTCACGTGCGTCCAATTATCTAAGTCAGAATGGTGTCGAGTGTAGTGAATCTGCCGTGGCATCTCTTGGGCCGAATTTCATCCTTCTACCTCAAACCCAACAGCTCAAGGCGCTTCACACAGTTATTCGAGACAAGTGAGTTTTTGCGACCGAGTCGTACTTGTTTTTCTTGTGAGTGCCAAAAACGTGTCCACCTTTGTTTCAGAAGTACGGTCCGGAGTGATTTTGTTTTCTATGCTGATCGTTTGGTGAGTACTGAGCAGTTCTCTTGGCTTAAGCTAATTTTTGATTTATGATGTCGATTTTTTTTTCTCTCGTCAGATCCGGTTAGTGGTGGAAGAAGGACTGAACCAACTACCTTTCAAGAGCTGTTCGGTTGTGACTCCAACGGGTACTGTGTATGATGGATGTCGGTTTGAGCGTGGGAACTGTGGTGTTAGTATCGTCCGAAGCGGGGAGGCCATGGAAAAGGTGAGATTTTCTTTCTAGAGCCATTTCTGTGCACTTGAGCACCCAACTCATACTTTCTTTGCTTACCAAATTGATATATCTAATTGTTGTCTACGTAACGTGGTCTAGATTACCAATCTTTACTTGAGTACCACTTACCTTTGATTAAGATGTATGCTATGTTTTTTTAAACATGCATTTAACATTTAATATTTTCTAACAGTACATTTTAACATACAGTACAGTACAGTATCTTGAAGATGGGCAGGATCCATTCCCGCTCCTAGATGTCGCTGATTGATGGGTCCTTGAAACTTGTTTCTCTAGGAATAGGAATTTGATCGTGATCTGGGGGTTCCAAAGTACAATTATACATGACTTGAACTGTCTCGGAATTGTTCGAAATACTGTATAATTTTTACCTAATCGTTTTCAGGGACTGAGATCATGTTGCCGTTCAATACGAATAGGGAAGATCCTAGTGGAGTCTGATGAAACTCATAATGCCCGCGTGGTGTATGCCAAGTTCCCAGGCGACATTGCCTTTAGGAAGGCGCTTCTGATGTACCCCATCTTGAGCACGGGCAACACGGTCATCAAAGCTGTTGAAGTGCTTCGTGAGCACAATGTTCCCGAAGAGAACATCATCTTGTTGAACTTGTTTTGTACCCCAGTGGCGGCTCGGTCTGTGCTGGAAGCCTTTCCGAAGCTCAAGCTCCTGAGTTCCGAGATGCATCCCTTCACGCCGAATAATTTCGGACAACGTTATTTTGTTGGTGCTCATGACTGATGGAAATATTTACGAGTCTTTCGAAGTTTGTGTGTGTGTTCGAAAGTTCGTGCTTGGATTTTTTTTCTCTCCTCGTGCTTTTTTTTTTTTACGCTGTGATTTGACTCGCTTTGTGATGTTTTGCGGGGGTTTCAGTCAGTTGGTGTCTCTTGTTTGTTTGCACTCGCGTGTGCAATGATCAGATGGAAAAATTACAAATTTATCTTCAAAAATGTTGAATTTTCGAGGAATTGTGCAGGTACTGTCTCGGTTGTGTATCTGGCCTTGGAACTTTTCACAGCGTCTTCCTTCATCTTTTTGAATTTGTCAATTGTTTTAGTTTCGAAGTCTTATTTTAACGTCTTAGTTTCAGTTGGATAATCGAAACCATATCACAATTGGTTATACAGTACTGTGCTGTACGTTAAAGTTGGCAGAACAGAGATGCACGAATCGTTTTTTGACTACAATCTTCAGGAAACGCTCCTCTGCTCCAGAAGCATAATTTTTATAATTATTTCAAGTGGTACAGTAATTATATGGGAGATTAAGGCTCCCGTTTCTTAAACGTAACAAGTTGGAAAAAGTCTCTTACATGCTAACACTATGTTCTTTTCTCCTCAATGCATGTGGAACACATGGTTTATTTTGGTTTCAATAAAAATTTTATTTCTTGAGCACGGGCAACACGGTCATCAAAGCTGTTGAAGTGCTTCGTGAGCACAATGTTCCCGAAGAGAACATCATCTTGTTGAACTTGTTTTGTACCCCAGTGGCGGCTCGGTCTGTGCTGGAAGCTTTTCCGAAGCTCAAGCTCCTGAGTTCCGAGATGCATCCCTTCACGCCGAATAATTTTGGACAACGTTATTTTGTTGGTGCTCATGACTGATTGAAATATTTACGAGTCTTTCGGAGTTTGTGTGTGTGTTCGAAAGTTCGTGCTTGGATTTTTGTTTCTCTCTTCGAGCTTTTTTTTTACGCTGTGATTTGACTCGCTTTGTGATGTTTTGCGGGGGTTTCAGTCAGTTGGTGTCTCTTGTTTGTTTGGGTTCTTGACTCGCGTGTGCAATGATCAGATGGAAAAATGACAAATTTATCTTCAAAAATGTTGAATTTTCGAGGAATTGTGCAGGTACTGTCTCGGTTGTGTATCTGGCCTTAGAACTTTTCACAGCGTCTTCCTTCATCTTTTTGAATTTGTCAATTGTTTTAGTTGCGAAGTCTTATTTTAACGTCTTAGTTTCAGTTGGATAATCGAAACCATATCACAATTGGTTAAACAGTACTGTGCTGTACGTTAAAGTTGGCAGAACAGAGATGCACGAATCGTTTTTTGACTACAATCTTGAGGAAACGCTCCTCTGCTCCAGAATCATAATTTTTATAATTATTTCAAGTGGTACAGTAATTATATGCCTCTAATTCCGAGGGCAAAGAATTTGCATTGTTCAACCTTTTTCAGAGAATGTACGATTGTGATACAAGAAAAGAGGAGTTACGTACACCTTGTGTACCAAATAAAACCAAAGTTATTTTTAAAATACAAATAGGTAAAAAATCATTTATAGGTACCTTTTATAGTTACATACATTATTCTAAATACATCATATCGTACTGTTTATTGTCTAATAAATTCTACTATTTTCGTGCTGAAAGACATGGTTCTCCTTGAAATGTCATGGAAACAGTGGAATGTAACTCAGGGTATTGTCATAGTTTCATTGGTCATGGTTTCATTTTTCTACGAAAAGAAACCTTGACGTGTATTTTTGAGACAGAATTGCTCCAAGCTAGGATTTTATTGTACAGTATCTGCAGGATTCTGAAAAAATATCAGCAGTGATTTCTTGAAGCTTAAAGCCAAATCTTAGTCTTTCTGTGTTCGCAAAGTCTGAAGCTTCAACCTGAAACCACTCAAAATTCGGGAGTCAATCAATTGTTTTCCCATTTTCTGTTCGGTGATGTTTAAAACGCGTAACTTCCGAAGACTTTTTTAGGTGGATAACATGAAAGACACTAGTAGTCTAAGAAAGAAGCAGTACCAACACTAACTCCTTTAATTACCTAAAACAAAACGACAACAAAAAAAAACTTCTTCTCTCTTGGGATGCTTTGAAAAAAGACTTGGAAAATCGTGTTCTGATATTGCTATGCGGCTCTTCCCGCAGAGAAAGTGTTATAAATTGGACTTTTCGAACGCATGTTTGTCTCAACTTGTTCTGTTCTAAAATTTTACGCGATTGTAAGACGCAATTCTACCCATGGACTTGAATTAGTTCTGTGTAGAGTAAATAACTTAATTGGCGGTTCATTGAACCAAGAATAAGTTTCCGAACGTATCTATGATTCGTTCCTACGTCAACGGCTTCGAAATTTATTCAATAATTTTTTGTGCATATTTAAAATTAGATCAAACATATTCCGGATGCTTTTTCACGCCTTCGGTTTAATTTAGATTTATTCGGAATCATGTTTTAAACTCATTTTCGGGTAGAAGGATGTTTTGAGAAGTCGATGAGACAATGCATCTGATGAAGGAGCGTTTATATTTTTACTATCCCCTGAAATATGATTTTTTGAGCTGATTCAAACTTTGATCTGATTTTTCCGATTCAAAATCGAGGAGTGATTGCGTCTTGTGCTTGTGTAAAAATTATATCTTCATTCGATTGCTCGTGACTGACGTTTTTGTTTTGGAATTTACAGGCAAGAATGTCCATGTCAAAGAGTAAGAATTTCGTGTTGGAAGTGCAGGAATGGAATAAAGTCTACGATGCGTTGTACAAGTCAAATGACAGGGACTTGAAAGAATGGGCTCTCGGTCGGATCTCCGTTTGGCGCGCCAGGTTTGTGGGAAACACCGAGGAAGTTATTTTTGCAACGAACCAAAAAGGGTTTGAACATTTTGCATGGATTTCGACTCCGCAGATTTCCCCGGATACCAACTGGCATGGACGTGACAGAACGCTTGTTTAGGGCTCTCCTGAAGGCGGAGGATTTGAAATTGAGTCGAGTCGGAGGATTTGTGAATGCGACTTCGGCTCAGATTGCTGATGCCCATTCGTGTCTCGGATTTGCGGTCATAAGGTGATCTTCTGTTTTTTTTTTTTTTCAGTTCACGACACGAAGAACGATGCGTCTCGAAGTTTTTTTCATGATGTTGGAATCTTGTTTCTTTAGAATGATCGAGTTTCTGAGTCCAAATGCTTGAAACGATGGTGTGACAATTTTTCAAGCGATATACTGAGTACAGTGGATCCCCGCAGAGTTTCAATCGAAAGATCGTTCGAATGTGTGAATCTTTTGGGCCGAAAAGTTTCGTTCTTTGAATTACTTCCGTAGTGTGCACTAGTGTGAGTCGTATTTTTCCTCCTGAAAATGTTAGTTTTACCGAATCTTCGTTACTCACTGAATCAGTTACAGGTTGACTCTCTACAAGGAAATTGAGGTGTCGAAAAAAATTTTGTTGTAGATGTTGAAAATAAAAGTAAGGGGTGTTTAGAAACAACAGGTTTGCACGGATCAGCGGAAGATGCTAATCTTTTAGGAATCTTGCAGGACCAGAGTTGACCTTGAGTTCCCATGATCTTCCTCCCGAAAATTGTTTTGTCCTTCAATATCTATTTTTGTCAAATTCTTGAGCATCAAGGACCCTTTTTCTACATTCTTCTCTTCATTGAATTAGTTTTCCTGTTTGCTGAAAACCAGCAGAAAAATCTATCAAGTCTTGATTTTTGAATTGTGCAGACCTTGCAAGAGTCCAGTTTTTGCATTGTGTTTTCAACCAATTCTCTTACTTTGAGTTGCAGTTGCTTGTTGTCTCTCATCTTTCGAAATTTTGCTCTAACCAACAAAAGGAAAATATATCATTTTGTACTAGGACTTTTTAGTCCCCGCCGCAGCCCGGCTGATCGATCTGTTTTCTTTCTCATATATTTTGTAATCTAGTTATAAGCTTGATTATTGGAAGTTCAATTGCTAATTTATCAGTTTCCTGATTTTTCAATCAAAAGGAATTCAGCAATCGTTCCTTTCTTGTCAAGAATATATTTCTGACAGTAGAGTACCTCTATAATAGGGTTATAAACCCCTTTTTGAGTCCAAAAAATGTGCTTCACAGATAAAATCGTTTTGAAGAGATTCTATTCCTGTGTTGTCATCGTGTTTTGTTGTGTAAAAAAAAAAAAAAGTGAAATTGATGGGGATAATGTTTCCGATCCGCAGGTTCGTCACCCTGCGACTTGGCATCCACTTCCTTCACGTACTTTTGTTTCGTTCTTTGAATTACTTCCGTAGTGTGCACTAGTGTGAGTCGTATTTTTCCTCCTGAAAATGTTAGTTTTACCGAATCTTCGTTACTCACTGAATCAGTTACAGGTTGACTCTCTACAAGGAACTTTAGGTGCCGAAAAAAATGTAATTGTAGATGTTGAAAATAAAAGTAAGGGGTGTTTAGAAACAACAGGTTTACAAGGATCAGCAGAAGATGCTAATCTTCGAGGAATCTTGTCGGACCAGAGTTGACCTTGAGTTCCCATGATCTTCCTCCCAAAATTTTTTCCGTCCTTCAATATCTATTTTTGTCAAATCCTTGAGCATCAAGGACCCTTTTTCTACATTCTTCTCTTCATTGAATTAGTTTTTCTGTTTGCTGAAAACCAGCAGAAAAATCAATTGAGCCTTGATCTTTGAATCTTGCAGACCATGTGAGAGTCTGTTTTTTGCATTGTGTTTTCAACCAATTCTCTTACTTTGAGTTGCAGTTGCTTGTTGTCTCACATCTTGTGAAATTTTTCTCTAACCAACAAAAGGAAAATACTGTACTGTATATCATTTTATACTAGGACTTTTTAGTCCCAGCCGCAGCCTGGCTGATTAATCTATTTTCTTTCTCATATATTTTGCAATCTTGTTATAAGCTTGATTATTGGAAGTTCAATTGCTAATTTATCAGTTTCCTGATTTTTCAATCAAAAGGAATTCAGCAATTGTTCCTTTCCTGTCAAAAATATATATCTGACAGTAGAGTACCTCTATAATAGGGTTATGAACCCCTTTTTGGGTCCAAAAAATTTGCTTCACAGATACAATCGTGATAAAGAGAGTCTATTCCTGTATTGTCATCGTGTTCTGTTGTGTAAAAAAAAAAAAAAAAGTGAAATTGATGGGGATAATGTTTCCGATCCGCAGGTTCGTCAACTTGATAACAGACCTGAACCAGAAGAACGCTCACCACCGCCCGATTCACGAGACCGCCAAAGACTTCATGATCCCCGCGTGGATCGTCGAACTCCGCCACGACGCCGCTCATTCCGGCGTCCCTTCCATTTACCGTTTAACCGACGCTGCTCGTTGTTGCATCCAGTGGCTAGAAGAACGGTATTGGGCCGAAGAAAAGCCGTCGTTGAATCAAAAGGTGGACGTGTGGAAAGACCGCGAGAATTTGATCGACGACGACGGCGTGGAAGAAGTGAATCCGTGCGAAGAGTTGCTTGAAAAGTACGTGAAGGAAGTGGATGCCAAGTCGCAGGGTGAGGAAGGGTTTGAGGATCTGCTCGATGCCTTGACGTATGTCGTGAGTCAGAACACCGACGAGTTTGTGGACACGCTGCTGCGACCCGGGTTTTTCCTGCCTTCGGAGAAATCCGGTTAGTTTATTTCATTCAATATCATTCATTTCATGCTTTCATGTATTCTCTCATTTTTTTTCGAAGTTTTGTGGATTGAATATCCGGTGTATCTCGACTTTTCGAGTGTGATATTTTCAAGAGATGTGATTGAAGCAGTGCCTTTTTCGATTGATTAAATTTGCGTCCTTCAGGGAAATGTTTCTTCGAAATTGAAGCCGAGGTGACATTTTGCTTCACGAGATCATCAGTTTTTTTTTTAATACATTTTTTTAGTACACTATAACTTCAAGTCGAACTTCGAGGGACCAGGAAAAAATCGAGTTCGGGATGTTTCGAGTTCGGGAAATGAGCATTTGTGTTGGTCGAAAGAAAGATGAATTGCAGGAAATTGTAATTGAAGATGCTCGAGTCGATGAGGTTCAACTTCAGAAATTTAGAAATATTTATTTATTTTTAGAAGAACCTGATTCAATTTTCGTAAAATTAAAACTCATTCCGTGACCTAAAAATCCAATGCGTGCGAAATATTGCGAATTCTACGAACGATCGACGTCAGATGGGATTCATGAGTGCCATACCTCAAGTTTCTTTTCCAGTACTGTATAAGTGTTGTGCATTCAGTTGAAAAGATCACCAAAATATGCGTTGGAATTTCAGCTGGAAATTTAAAACGGGATTTTTTGTTTGTTCTTGTAAGTGGGGAATGATTCTCCCGACATTTTTTTATCGTGAATTTTGTAACGTAATTTTATTTATCTAAAGGATTTCTCAATTGATTCAAATCTGAAAAGTAAGGATTGACTGTCACGCCATTACTTAAGTATATACGAATTGTGTTGTTCTTTCTTTCATTCAAAATATTTAGCTGGGCATTTAAAATACTGTATCTTGACAGGTGTCGCATGAATAATTTGAAGGATGGAAAAATAAGCAAATTTGAAGTTATTGAAAAAAGCTTACCTTCACTTAATCTGATTTAACCCATTCGACTTGGTTTCATTAAAATTTAACGAAATTCGTTGCCCATCTGTGGGTTGAAGTGAGAACGGAAACTCTTAGCCAGCGAGAGGCGAGTACAGTATATTCTCGGGGATTTCCCCTGCATGTAGGATAATATGAAATGCTTCTGAATTGAATAGCTTTTTCTTATCTTTATTGAACAGATGCGGAATTTATCAGAATGCCGTAAGCATCATATTTTTTTCTTGATGCATTGTGTATGCGTGAACAGTGTCGTGAAGTTGTTTTTTCTTTTTCCTCGTGTCCCGAGTTGCGGATTTTCCACTAAGACTATTTATTTTTTATTTTTCTCAGAAAAGGAAATCAGTTTCGAAATGTGGCTGCCGCTGCTGAACGCAATGCACAACGCCTCACTGTACTCCCTGCCACTGCTTTTGGAAAAATTGTTGAAAATGAAAACGTCCAGCCAAAGAGGCCCGAAATCTGAGAAGGCAGTTGCTCAGTGGTTTTTGTTCATCACTCGACAAGTGGCTCGGACCCAACTTTCGAACCCGGCGGAAGGTACGTGGTGTTGCCTAGAATCCCTAGATGATGGAGTCAAATAAAGAGAAACAATTTTAAATGATTGAAAGAGATGAGCGGAAAAGACGCATTTCGAATTTTTTTTTCTACATTGCAGATGTATTCTTGGGTTTTCAATAAAGAATCGTTGGGAATTATTATTTGTTTCTTTTTTCGTAGTACCCATGGCTTCGTTGTAAAGATATTTTTACTGTATTTTGAAAATCACTTCATCATCCTCGATTTCCTTCGTGACTTGTGATTGAAGAAAAGAATGTCACTGAGAAGACAGTCGTGCCCCGAATTCCCGAGTGATTTGAAGTGCTTTATACTCTTTTTTTTTTTTATAACGTGAGCGTTGATCTGTTACCTGTGGCTGTCTGATTTCACTAATTTTGTGAAAACCACCTAATTTTTTTCCAAATTTTTCTGTTTTTGATTTGCGATTGAAGGAAAGATTCCCCCTGAGGAACCTGTCGAGCTCGGATTGCCGAGTGACTCGAATCTCTGCGTGTCGTGCGTGGACCACGACGTACCTGTCAACTGGGACTGGTTGTTGCTCTCGGACCCAACTTTCGAACCCGGCGGAAGGTACGTGGTGTTGCCTAGAATCCCTAGATGATGGAGTCAAATAAAGAGAAACAATTTTAAATGATTGAAAGAGATGAGCGGAAAAGACGCATTTCGATTTTTTTTTTCTACATTGCAGATGTATTCTTGGGTTTTCAATAAAGAATCGCTGGGAATTATTATTTGTTTCTTTTTTTGTAGTACCTATGGCTTCGTTGTAAAGATATTTTTACTGTATTTTGAAAATCACTTCATCATCCTCGATTTCCTTCGTGACTTGTGATTGAAGAAAAGAGTGTCACTGAGAAGACAAGTCGAACCCCGAATTCCCGAGTGATTTGAAGTGCTTTATACTCTTCTTTTTTTTTATAACGTGAGCGTTGTTCTGTTACCTGTGGCTGTCTGATTTCACGAATTTAGTGGAAACCACCTCATTTTTTTCACATTTTTCTGTTTTGATTTGCGATTGAAGGAAAGATTCCCCCTGAGGAACCTGTCGAGCTCGGATTGCCGAGTGACTCGAATCTCTGCGTGTCGTGCGTGGACCACGACGTACCTGTCAACTGGGACTGGTTGTTGCAACTCGCCGTCCGATTCCCGCATCAGTACACCAAGTACTACCTCCCAGTATTGTGCTTCCTGACGAATTCCTCGGATGAGAAGCTCTCGAATCTCCAGAAGATGTTGACGAGTTTCTTGGACTCGACGGAAGTTGCGAAGGAAACAGTGGAAGAGACGGAGAAAATGGAAGGAGACGAAGAGATGGAGGATGAAGGCGATGATTGTGGATGGACTCTGTGTTCCGGTATGGCATTTTTTCATGATCTTGTTCGATGTTTTGTTAAAGGACTGCTTTTCTATGAATTTTCTCACTTGGTGCTGTAGAATCGTCATTTTCTCCTTCTTTATGCGACATTAAAATGTACAAGTAATCGACACAAGGGATTAAACTTATGACTATTTAAAACCTTAAAACTCCTATCTTTTACGCTTACCCACAACAAGCTAAGTTAAGAGCTAACAATGGGAAATGTGGAACCTGAGGAAATTCTCATTTTGATCGATAATTTTGCGTATGTTGGAAAACTGCAAAAAGATTATGAAGCTGATATCAGATGCTAATGTGGAGGTGAAACGTGAACCTGCGTAAATTTTTATGACGTGGTCTGTGTTGAAGAAATGTTATAACTGAATATTGAATAGCAGTTCTTTCAAGTTGAATTTTCCGAAATATTCCATCATTCATCACAAAATTGAATGGCGTAATCTAGATCAGGCTTATTTCGTTTTAAAATAATTGTGATATGAATTTTTACCGTTGGACGAACCATTTTTATACTTTTTCGTATGCAACTTCGAATGTGATTGGTAACCGTGGAAATACGCAATGGGTATTTAAATCCTTGTTAAGAGAAAGATTTGGGGTTTTTGGTGTGTTTCGAATGTAACTTTCATTCAATTTACATCGAAACAACAAAGGGAAAGTCTATTTAACCGTACCTTTCTATGAGGAAACCCATGTCACGGACCCTTCTTGGAAACACGTTACTTGGACCTGGACCTGACCTTCCAGGTCACGAGTGGGCTCGGTCTTGCAGAATCGAAGGTTTAATCTTCTTTTTTTTTTACAATACTGTATTTGAAACTGGCGTGTTTTAAATTTGTACTTTTTGCTTCGGAGTTGAAGATGAATTGATGGGTTATTTTTTCGTTGCATTTTTTTATTTTTCGAGGTGAAGAATTCGAATGTGGGCGAAGATTTAATCAATTCTGTGAAATAATTTTATGCATCGTACTTTTCTTTTTTTAATATGCAGCAAAATTCCAAGGCTGGTTCTGTGACGAAATATGTTGCGTCTCTCTTCTGATCATGCTCGCATGAAACTGCAAATCTCGCCTTTCATGAAATTTTATTCGAGATCTCGTGAAAAGAAAAGGAGTCAAACGCCGTGTTTAGAACGTATTTCATTTTCCTTTCGGGGAGTTCGTCATAGATGCAATTTTTTCGAACCTGCTCATTTATATCCAGTTCCCACCGTTTGTGTTAACTTTATTCAATCGTTCGATTGATTTCCTGGATTAGGATTCAGTTCAAATATTCTCACGTGGGGTTTTTTTTTTCTTTTTATGTGCGATTATGTTTCTACGTCGCATGTCCGATGTGGGGGTTTTTCCGATGTGCGTTTTTTTTTTTTGCAATCTGCCATTGGCGTTCATAAGTTGTGCATTCGGAGAATTATGTTTTGCGAAATGATGAAAACCTACTCTTGATTTTATGTTTTTTCAGAAAGGGGTTGATAATTATGGCGTGTGACGTGTGAAGTCCTGTTTAATTTTTTTGGAAATTCCGGTTCCCTGTGAAGTGTTTTTTGCGACAGAATGCCGTTCTTGCGCGGACCTGGTCCGTTGCGGCGGACCTTGAAGTATTTGGAAGCTGGGAAATTCCATCTTCGCAATCAAATCAAGGTCATGACCGTGGCCTACAACACTGAGCTGAAATCTCATGAGCAGATGAGGTGATGAGGTTTTTTGTTGTTGCCGCAGTGACTGAAAATGATGTTTATTTTTGCAGAATAAATTCTTTGTAAAATCATTGACGGTAGATCAAATAATATTTTTTTTATCCCGGAAACAAATTGTGCTATATTTTATGCTTGGAATGGATCAAAAGTCACGTGCTTATTGGTATCAGTACTTGGAAGACGTTTGTGACCCTTTCAATTGATTTGATTGGGAATGGTTATCGTGAAAGGTTTTTCCGGAATATTCGTTTTTGTTATGTGGATCTGTTCATGCTCTGGAAAACTGAAAAGAAAAACAGCCTTCATTCTTCGAAAAAATGAGAATCTTTTCGGCATCCGAACAATGCTTTAAACCTACTGCAGAAATTCTCACGCGAAGCCAAAATAAAACAAAAGCCAGATTAAATTCGCTGATCTTCCATTGACATGTAGCAATACTGAAACTGTTCTTTGTTCTGCTGGACGTATGAGAAAAGTTAATTGACGGGGTTCACCAGTCGCTATTTTTCAAAGATAATTTATTTGTTTTCTAAGCTGGAGAATTGACAAGGTTTATGGTTGTAGGAATGAATCAAATACTGTATTTGTTGGTGCGGTAACTGTATTGAATTTCAATTTCTCCTCAGGGAGTTCGTCTTCTGGAGCTTTCCGCAGTTGCAGTTCAAGAATCCGGATGTTCAAATAGTGTCGTTGACGAATTTGACTCCTACTCCATTCATACAGTGTTTCCTTGGTGAGTATTTTATCTTTTTGCGAAATCTTCAAAAATACTGTTTGGTGGAAAAGTTGTGAAGTACAGTGCCGTATTCACTGAAGTACCCTGGGAAGTTTTTGTCGAGCGTCGATTGTAATTTTTTTTTTTACCTGATTTATTTCTGTAGAATCAGGGAAAAAAGTTCTGCTTGATCTCGACGGTTTGACCGCCCAAGAAATCCAAGATCGGCTCCTTAGGACTGTCTGTAAACCGAAGTGAGTTTTCCTTGACTGGACTTCCCAGTCCGAAATTTTTCTAGGTGGTGATATTTTTGAAAAATTCTCTTCTATTTTTCTTTTCAAATCCATAGGGAAATTTTGGATCGAGAGCGAATCGCGTCGATCAAAGCTGCCAACCCCGCGAATTTCGGCGACGAATTCGAAAGACACTGCATTTGCGAATTACCTGGTCAAGTCCCTTGTCCTAGTATCGTTCTCTTGCCGGATAAAATGCGCGGAAAATTCAAGTACAAGCAGGATTTTTGAATTTGATCGTGTTTTCTACCAGTTTGTCTGTCAGTGTAGGAGCTCGTGCGTGATGCCTCGGAATGAAAACTGTTGGGTTCATATGAGCGAGTGCATTCATCTGTTGTGTGATCATAGCTTGTGAATGTTTTTTTTTCTTTCTTTCTTTTAATAAGTTATTGAATTTTTTTTCTAGGTGTGAAAGACGTGTGAGTTTGGGATCAAGTGTGGACAAGTGTAGATGTTGCTGCGAGTCACGAGCAGGCTTTTTCTCTTTTGTGTTGAATTTTCTGCAGTTTCTTCAAGTTTTCCTCATTGCGTTTACGTTGTAAGATTAATGATTTTTTTGGTTTATCGACAGATTTCCTTCTTTAAAGTCGGACAAAATTCCCCGGAGATGCCTTGAAGAAAGAACAGAACAAAACAAACCATTGAATGTGACGTGTCCGCGAATATATTCGCGGTGTCGTTTTATTCTCGAGACATGAAAGGTTTCGCCGTGAAAGCATCTTGCCTGGTCGTCCTGACGTTGGTGACGACAGTGACCGTTGTTTTGCTTCGGTATTCTCGGAATGTGCCGACCGAGAATCGCTACATTAGCTCTACGGCGATCGTGTTTTCTGAAATTCTGAAAGTTATCGTCTGCCTGCTTGCCCTTTTTTATATGTCTGGTGAGTATCAGAGATTCTGTCTATCAATATTTTATTATCACAGTGCAGATGGACTCTCACTCTCTCTTCTACGAAATTCAAGGGACCAGAAAAAAATTTGTCATCCAGAAGTTGTTGGGAAAATTTCGTTTTAGAGATTTAAAAAATCAGAAAAAATTTGTTTTAGTTGTAGAAAGAATTTTGTTGAGAAAACCCTATTGAACGAAAAGAAATCCATTCAAGTGGGAAATTCTTGAAGTTATTGATAGAAAGCTTTGTAGAATTTATTATTCATTTACTTGAGGACCGCACTCACTCGAACATCGGAAAATTTTCTAAATTGACGGAGGTTTCATTAAAATATCTGCGTATTGTTGTGCAAGTGTAACGTAAACATTGAGATATCTTCGTTTTATCCGTTCTGTTCAGCATTTTGTATCATGGGAAACCCATTTGAAATTTTTTATGCATTGAAGTTTATTGTTTTACCAACCTAACAGGACTTGATGGCGTATGAAAAGATTCGGTTGACACCTGAGTAATGAAGAAGGAAAGAACAGGTTTTATATCACTAGAGAATAAAAATAATGTGAATGAAATAGCTGCGCTTCGAAATCTTGAAATTCAATAATAATCCTGTCTCCAAATTCGCTGCAGTGACGCAATTAGAAAAACAGATTAAAATTACCTCTTGTTTTTTTACTCGTGGTTCATGTGATTCGTATCTTAAAATTTCAGGTTTCCACTTGTGCGAGACTGTGAGAATTTTTTACACGGATGTGCTGACCAATTGGGAGGAGACGAGCAAGCTGTTGTTGCCGAGTGCGTTGTACACTGCACAGAACAACCTGTTGTTTATCGCCTTGTCGCATTTGAATGCGGCTACGTACCAAGTTACCTATCAACTGTTTTAGGATTGGTGCCGCGAGAAGAGACATGACGAGAACCTGTTCTTTGAGCCTGGTACCGTTACCACGAGAGATCAACACGAGTACTAGCCCCAATGAAATCACGTTCACTCACGTAACAAAAAAATTTATTTTTATTTTTTGTTACAACTGCGAAATAATTACTGTATTGTCAAACCACTGGAAATCTAACTTCAATGGTCTAGCAAAAAAAAGTGAGTTAGAGAGGTTTTTCAAGCATTATTTCTGAGAAAATTCGACAAAGGGAGTAATTCGATTTGAGATGTTCGAGTTATCCAGGTTTAACTCTGTACGGCAGTATTTTTAAATGAATGTATGTACAGTATCGTGGTTGTGCAGTAAAATCTTGTTACAACAAACTGCCTGGGAACTGAGAAAAAAATTGGTCAGAAGGAGATTAATAGTTCTTAGAGCATATAGGACTGACATTTTGTGGGAAACCGTTAATTATTGATTTAAAGTACTGTTCTGTTCTTCCACAGCAGATTTGTGAAGAAGTGCAAGTATTTCCAGCTTCTTTTAATGAAATGATCAAGAAAATTTAATACAGTACTGTATTTGAAAGACTGTACTGTTATCTTATTTTAGATCTTCCTTTTCTTGAATTTTCTAAAATTATGCTGATTTTACGAAAGTATATGCTGAGACCAAAAGAGAATATCTGTGCAAAAAGAGCATTCATTCATAGGGAACTGGATGTTCTGCAAAATGGAAAAGTATCCATTCAAACATACTTTTTTCAAAAAATTTGTCATGTCTATATTCTGGAGTAAAGCTAAATAAATTTTATTAGAGCTACTTTCTTTGTGCAATGCAACATTTTCTGTACAAGAAGATTTAATTTATATATTTTGGAGGTTTTTCAATTATGCACAAGTTGAGTTTTCCCGTATTGTGTTAATTAGTAAAATTTGCTATGGCCCATGCGCACATAATCAAGGCGAAAATTCGTTATGCTAAGATCGCAGCGGAAAATTTTTTCAATAACGACATTTTTATGACATTTTCCCTATGAAGAAACCGCCGGGACCAAGACAAAGATGTTCATTGAAAAATTCTTTGTAATGGAATTTCACTTTATTATACTACAGTATCTGCTGCTGCTTATTTTGGAAAAACTTTTTTCAGCGACACCTACCTCATATTCTGGAAAGCGAAGGTGGACGACTGGGCGTGAAAATGAGAAGAGTCAATGTACAGTAGTGATCTATCGCGATATCAGAGGTTCAAAATCCTAACCACGGCGCTCTTCTCTGTACTGCTCTTGGACAAGAAACTCGGACCATGGCAATGGTGCTCTCTAGTTGTGCTCATGATCGGGGTTACTTTAGTGCAAGTGAGTGCATTGTTTTTTTTATTTATTGTTACAACTGCTAAATAATTATTGTCAAACCACTGTAAATCTAACTTCAATGGTCTAGCAAAAAAAAAAAAAAAACTGAGTTGGAGAGATTTTTCAAGCATTGTTTCTAAGAAAATTCTCCAAAGGGAGTAATTCGATTTTGGGATGTTCGAGTTATCCAGGTTCAACTCTGTACAATAGTATAATTAAATCAATATATGTACTGTATCATATTTGTACAGTGCAGTGAAATCTTGTTAACAGCAAACTCCCAGGGAACTGAGAAAAGAATTGGTCAGAAGGAGATTAATAGTTCTTTGAGCATTTAGGACTGAAATTTCGTGGGAAACCGATGATAATTGATTAAAAATACTGTACTGTACTTCCACAGCAGATTTGTGAAGAAGTGCTAGTATTTCCAGCTTCTTTTAATGAAATGATCAAGACAATTTAACACATTATTTGAAGGACTGTACTACAGTATTCTTTTATTTTAGATCTTCCTTTTCTTGAATTTTCTAAAATTATGCTGATTTTACGAAAGTATATGCTGAAACCAGCAGGGAATATATGTGCAAAAAGAGCATTCATTCATAGGGAACTGGATGTTCTGCAAAATGGAAAAGTATCCTTTCAAACATACTTTTCCAAAAAATTGTCCATGTCTATATTGTGGAGTAAAGCTAAATAAATTTTATGAGAGCTACTTTCTTTGTGCAATGCAAACTTTTCTGTACAAAAAGATTTAATTTATATATTTTGGAGGTTTTTCAATTATGCACAAGTTGAGTTTTCCTGTATTGTGCCAATTAGTAAAATTTGCTATGACCCATGCGCACATAAACAAGGCGAAAATTCGTTATGCTAAGATCGCAGAGGAAAATTTTTTCAATTACGACATTTTTATGACATTTTCCCTATGAAGAAACCGCCGGGACCAAGACAAAGATGTTCATTGAAAAATTCTTTGTAATGGAATTTTACTTTATTGTACTACAGTATCTGCACGACGAATAAAACCTTTTTGAAAAAAGTCGCTGTGGATGGAGTATAAGACCTTTCGCTTCCACCTGCTGACCCGCACTTTTACTCTTCTCAGTTACATGTCATCACTAGATAGCGCTATAGTCTCCACTTTCAATCAAAGACGCCTTGTGACCATCCTCCAATACAGTATATATATTTTTTGAGTCCCTGGAGCGTTTCCGCGTTGACGTTTCAAGCATTTTAATGGCGTATTATTTTACAGTATGACTTATTGATTTGTTCCTGGTTTGTTTGCAGTTGGATCCCGAGGATCTAAAGCAAGAAGCCGTCAACTCAACAAGCTCCACTGTTGTCGGCTTAGTGTGTGTGGTGATTGCGAGTCTTTCCAGCGGATTGGCGGGAGTTTATTTCGAGCGATTGATCAAAATGGGCAATAATACCAAGGCTGTTCCGCCGGGCCTTACGATACGAAACCTTCAGATGGGTGAGATGCTCTCGACTACGTGACAGTAACAGTGCATTGCATTCATGTAGAAATTATGAAAACGACAACTAGATTATTTTATTTCACGGATGCTTTTTTTTCCCGACGTTTTCACGCAGGCATCACTTCTGTTCTGTTTGGAGTGCTGGCGTCTTTTTACAATGACTCGGATGAGATTTTGAAGCGCGGGGTTTTTGCTGGGTATAATCACCTCACTTGGTGTGTTATTTTGCTTCAGGTGAGTTGATCTTGTGTGTGTGTGTGGGATTCTCAGTTGCGTTTCACCCCGTCGTTTTCAAAGTGATTTCTCTGGACGAAGGTCTTGCTTTTTTAAAGCTGTATTTTTGTATTTGTATGGAGGCACTCGGATTTTTTGCGGGAGAGTCAGGAATTCCTTCCATCGAGTGAAGACCCTCTTTAACCTAAGGAGCCCCCATGCTAATACTGTATTCGTTTGTCTACCACCGTGTGAAGAATGGATTGAACAAAAGGGAACAGTTGAAGCCCGAGTTTAAAAAGAATCTTTCCTTGTTCGTACTCTAAATTGTTATCTGTCTCTTTGGAAAAATTAGAGAGGATCATGATAGACTCGAAAAAGGGTTGTGTGATTATTATTTTTTTTTCAAGAGAGAGATAGAGATCTGTTAGGTTCAAGGTCATCATTTTTGAATTTGATTTCTCCGCATTTTTTTGCAGAACAACAACTCACCAATTGGGATAGCTCAAATATTTCCTCGTACGAGGTCTCTAACAAAAGTTCTCGGAATGAAAATGAAAATGGCGTCTAAAAGAGCTGAAAAAAGTTATTCTTTTGGGCAAACATATTCTTTGGCACAAAAAAAGAATCAGCCTTGTTTGACAAATTTTTTTAATGTATTGCAAAATTTACCCTGGCAGAGTTTTGCTATCCACTCAACAGATGAGGTGCCCTTCCTGCAGTTTTTTTTTTTTCTTTGCAGCCCAGCTTTTCCCTCAGAATTCTGGAAATCAATGTGGCAGTAATTCCAAGGGTTGCCTCCAGGTCTTCCAAGGCATGCCTTGGAATTCTCATTTTCTTTCCAAATATTGAACATTACTGTTTTTGCAGCCCAGCTTTTCCCTCAGAATTCTTGAAATCAATGTGGCAGTAATTCCAAGGGTTGCCTCCAGGTCTTCCAAGGCATGCCTTGGAATTCTCATTTTCTTTCCAAATATTGAACATTACTGTACAGTATTGATTTCTGATCATTTTTGAATTTGTCCTTGAAGAAGTTAAACTATTGATGCTTGAATTTTATGAAAGAAATACTACAGTTATAAATTCAAAAATGAAGCTAAATGAATTTTCAATACTACCAGGAGGGAAGACTCTCTTCAACAAACTCAAAAGAACCAGAAAAAATTTGTTGCCGAGAGATTTTTGTTGTATATGACATGGGGACAGAAACCTACCAGACCAAAAAAATAATTAGTTTTAGAGAGAAAATCGTTCTAGACAATATCTTTGTAAAATAAGTCCACCTTTATAATTTTTGTTCTTGAAGAAAAACTGATGCATTTATCAAAAATAACGCAAATATTTCCCAGTCTTTTTTTTAGTTCCTCATGTCAAAAATATTAATGTAAATTGAAAAATTGTATCCCTGTGTGAGTTGTTGCTGTGCAACTCATTTCGCAGCAACTTCGATTTGGTTTCAATGATCATTCATGTGTTTTTTTTGCAGCCCAGCTTTTCCCTCAGAATTCTGGAAATCAATGTGGCAGTAATTCCAAGGGTTGCCTCCAGGTCTTCCAAGGCATGCCTTGGAATTCTCATTTTCTTTCCAAATATTGAACATTACTGTACAGTATTGATTTCTGATCATTTTTGAATTTGTCCTTGAAGAAGTTAAACTATTGATGCTTGAATTTTATGAAAGAATTACTACAGTTATAAATTCAAAAATGAAGCTAAATGAATTTTCAATACTACCAGGAGGGAAGACTCTCTTCAACAAACTCAAAAGAACCAGAAAAAATTGGTTGCAGAGAGATTTTTGTTGTATATGACATGGGGACAGAAACCTACCAGACCAAAAAAAATAATTAGTTTTAGAGAGAAAATCGTTCTAGACAAGATCTTTGTAAAGGAAGTCCACCTTTATAATTTTTGTTCTTGAAGAAAAACTGATGCATTTATCAAAAATAACGCAAATATTTCCCAGTCTTTTTTTTTTTTAGTTCCTCATGTCAAAAATATTAATGTAAATTGAAAAATTGTATCCCTGTGTGAGTTGTTGCTGTGCAACTCATTTCGCAGCAACTTCGATTTGGTTTCAATGATCATTCATGTGTTTTCACGCTGTCAATTATTTCGAACTCCATTATTCGGCATTGCCATCGTGTCAAAACCACTCACTTTTTTTTAGGCCCTCGGTGGTTTGATTGTGGCAATCACCATCAAGTACACCGACAACATCCTCAAGGGCTTCGCCACTTCCTTCTCCATCATCTTGTCGGCCGTGTGCTCGTACGCCTTCCTAGGGGATTTGTCGCTTTCTAGCTTTTTCTTGACCGGTGCCTCGCTGGTCATTGCTGCCACGTTTTTGTACGGTATTCGTGCCCCGGCTCCGCTCAAGCAAGAGCCTCAAAAGGTTTGTCGCTCTGCCTCTCAAAGTTGACCGCGAAATCAATTACGTGGTTGTTGTACTTTGGTTTTCTCTCATTCTCCTCCTCTTACGGTATTCGTGCCCCGGCTCCGCTCAAGCAAGAGCCTCAAAAGGTTTGTCGCTCTGCCTCTCAAAGTTGACCGCGAAATCAATTACGTGGTTGTTGTACTTTGGTTTTCTCTCATTCTCCTCCTCCTCCTCTACCCGTGATAGTGGTTCGTTATTTGCGGCTTTTTTTTCTCTTTTCGTTCGTTTGTGCTGGTGTCGAACTAGGTTATTTGGAGTAGCGCGTCGTGGGAAAGGAGCGACATCTAGGGTTAGGTTTCTGGAAATTGTCTGCGAGTCACCAACAAACTGTGATTATGGGGAGTCCGTTTTTTTTTTTTTTTGTTGGGCTAAAACTTCGTTGATTTATGAAACGGCCAAATGTGGATAGTTGGAAAATTGTGCCATCTCGCGATAACCAAATTATCGTTGGTTATTGAATTGAAATCAAGATGACCGAGTTTCGTTTTGTCTCCCGTGATGTACAGTACAGGTTTTGTGTGACTCGAGGGACTTTTCAAGAAACCCGTAACGTGTAACGCAAGTCAAACTGTAAAATTCGAGGAATCTATTCGTGATGCAGTAAATTTCGTTACACTGAACGCCCAGGGCCCTGAGCAAAAATTCGTTATAATCAGATTCATGGTTATTTGCGTGTGTAGGACCAAAATTGTTTATGAAACAGGTTAATGAATGTTTTGAAGTTCTGTACTTCCAGAAAAGATTTGTGAATAATTGCCATAATTTCCCACTTCTTTTTATGAAATAATGGCGAGCATGTAAAATACAATGTTTGTATTTTAGACCTTTTCCTTTAATTTCCTCAAAATATACTGATCTTACTGAAGAATAACTTAAAATATACCGAAAGAAGAGCATTTATCCGTGAACATCTGTGTGTTCCCTGGAATTGAGCTGCATCCGTTCAAACTTACTTAGTAAACTGTATGTCATTTCTAGATTATAAAATAACGGTAGATATATTTTGATTATAACTTCCTGCAACGCTAAGTTTTCTGTACAAGACGATTAGCGTTTATATTTTTTGAAGGTCTTGCATTTATGCACGAGTTGGGTTTTCCTGTATTGAGCCAATTCGTAAAACTGTCTGTGGCCCGTGTACACATAATCAGGGCAAAAATTCGTTATACTGAGATTGTAGTTCGTTATAACGGTTTTTTTTACATTTTCCCCTTGAAAAATACCGGGACCGAGAGAAAATTCTTTGTAACGAAAATTACTGTACCAGGAAACAGATTTTGGCAACTTTCGAAGCGCTATTCCAAATACCCATAGAGATGATAACGTGACGTACCCAAAAGAAAGGAAAATGGCGAAACGATTGTGTTGTATTTTATGCAAGGCAACATTCATGCATTCCAAAATTGGTTGCGTTTTACTCGACATTTTTCTCCCCGTGAGTGATCCTTAGATGTGATTTTTTTGTAGCTAGTGATTGATGATAGGAGTTGAAATCTCGTTGCTCATGGTTTTTTGAGTGCAATTCGCGACAAGAAAAAAAAAAATTTGCGTTGCAATTTTTTTTTCTCTTTTTGAATCACCGTGTTCTAGTCGTTGAGACGTTTTGTTGTTGGAACTGTGGCACTTCCATGCGGGAACGTGATGTTCTTGATGTCGAATATGTTCGAGACATATTTTCATGATGATGATGATGATAATGTTCAGTCTACGGTTGTGCGACTAAGATTACCTTTGGCTTCTCGGCACAGGTCGATTGAGGGCGAAAAACGGAAGCTGATCAAGGTGGCATATTGAAAAAAAGTGTTCGTCCGAAGAACGTTTTTAAATTGAATGGTATGATTTTTTTTTTCCTCCGGCTAGTCTTGAAAAAAAGAAAAAGAAAACCAATCCCGGCGAGTTGAGTTTGTTATTGGCGTTGTGAGAGCCGAGTATTTTGACCGCTTTTGTTTTGACAATAGGGATTTTTTTTTGCATTTCCTGGGTTGTATAAGGATCGACTTAGCAGGTGTGATTTTGCTTTTCTCTGGCGTTTTAGTTGTTTTTCTTCGTGGCTTGGGATCTGATGGAAGCGATTGGAGTGCAGCGTATTTTTTAAAACTTGCTGGTGGTATCATTTTGGCGCAACCGGGGCATTAAAGAAGTCTTGCTCAAATTTCGTGTTTTCATTTACCGAGTCTGTTATGTTGCAGCTTGAATTAAAACATGTGTTTCCAGTACGCAAGGGACTCCCCGCTTTTCAGAATACCCATGAAAAGAGAAATTTCGCATCGCCGCCTTTTTTTTAAAGGGAAGGAAATATATCACTCAATGACATTCTCTCACAAAAACAAATTTTTGGCACAGAGCTGCTGCTTGAATCTGAGCCGAATCTTTGTGAATAAGTATAAAAAGAAAGAGACGAGAAACCCATGCATATTTTCCTTTTCTTGTCAATTAAGAGTTTGAATTTTTAAAATTGTGTTGAGCTTCAATTTCAAAAATGTATGCTGAAAATGTGCAAAAATGTATGTGTTGATCATGGTCTTTTCAAGGGTGTCTGATGGAAATATTCTCTTGAATTAGGAAGTATGAAATATATTAAAATTGTAAGTTATGGGAAATCATGTTTCACACATTGACAACTTTATACATAAAACAAAATGGGCCCGGGACTGGAATAAGTTTGTTGTGTGGGGAATATACCCACTTTTTTCTGGCACTGCCCATATTGTGTACAGTATTCAATGAAGTGATGTGTGTTCATGCTTTATGCCTTTTTGCCTCCTTTACTAAAAGAAGATATTAAATATGCTTTAGTGATAAGAGTAACATTTTCTGCGTTTTGAGCTGAGATGTAAAGTTTTAAAATATTTTTCAATGATTGCTTGCATGTAATTAGTGATTGACAATGTGCTGATGGAAGTTTGTGGGAAAATGTGATACAACATGTACCAGATGTTCTGACATATGAACACAGTCTTGGAAATGTGATTTCCATATGATGGGTAAAATTGGATGGAAGAGCATGTGAGTATTCTGCTTTCACAGTTCCATGGTTCATCTTATACTGGAAAGTTTTCCGCATCAGTTCTGTTCAGGTAAGTCTTAAAAAACGGGTTCAAAATTTTATTATAGAATTCCGGAGATTGGTGATTCATTGCTGTATACGGTATTCTTGCATATTTGAACAAGAGTGTATCCACAAAACGGTGGTGTTACTTTCGTTCGCGGGGCGGTCGGTTGCCGACAGCCACGTTGAATAAGGTTCGCTTATCATGACGTGGGCTTGCGATTGGATGACCACGTTCAATTGTTCTGTCGCTCAGCTCATACTGTCGTTGCATTGAGCTAGTAGATATAAGATCATAGTTGTCTATGAATCAGTGCAGTATAAGAGTCGCTTGGATCTTCTATCAGTGACGCGTACCTCGAGGGCATTAAGAAGATAGCTATCGCCATGAGCAATGCTTCCCGGAAAGAGTGATCCATGAAGGTTTCAGCGCTCACCTTGTCGCATTTCGAAGTTTCAATCCTTATTGATGATCGCGAAATCTTCTGTCTCCTAGGTTCTGTGGTTGAGTGCCGGTCAGTCTTCTTTTCCGTTAAACGCATTATCGTGTGCTGGCTTTAATCATGGGCCTTCGGTGGGTTGTGTGTCTTTTGTTCGTGTCGGTGTTGGCAGCGAATGGCGAAGTTGAAAACGACAATGGGGTCTTGGTACTTACGAAGGACAATTTCCAGACAGTCTTGACGGAACATCCTCACATTCTTGTTGAATTCTGTAAGTTTTACTGTCTATAGATCCATAGACCGCATTGGGTGAATAATCGTTCATTCCAGATGCACCCTGGTGTGGTCATTGTCGGGCTTTGGCACCGGAGTATGAGAAAGCTGCGAAGACTCTGAAGGACGATGGATCAGACATTGTTCTCGGCAAGGTTGATGCCACTGTCGAGTCCGATCTCGCTAGCGAGCATGGTGTGCGAGGCTATCCTACGCTTTTCTTCTTCCGCAACGGAAAATCCATCAGCTACACTGGTATGCTTGAATCATAATATTTTTAGTCATGACGTGTGCTAACCCGAGTGGGTTTATCGACTCTACTATTCGAAACTTATTTATAACTTTTTGAAATTGCGTCTCATCATTTTACATTGAAATTTTTCAGGTGGACGTCAAGCAGCTGACATCGTAAGCTGGGTCCAGAAGAAGTCAGGGCCCCCAGCCAAGACCTTGGAAAGTGTGGATGATGCTAAGAGCTTCATCGAGAAGAATGACGTGGTCGTCGTGGGTTTCTTCAAGGATCTCGCAGGCAGTGCCGCCAAGGCTTTCGTTGAGGCTGCCGGCTCTAATGACGACTACCCATTTGCCATCACCAACGTGCAACAGATTGCTGAGGAGCACCAAATCGCCGAAGATTCCGTTACTCTTTTTAAGAAGGTATCGTAATCTTCTCTAAATGATTTTTTAATTGAGGGGTGCAAATTTGTCACTAGCTTGGCTAGAAATGTATAAGATACCGTCGAACTTCAAGGGACCAGCGAAATATTCGAATTCGGGAGGTTATACGTTAAGGGAACGAGCATTACTGGAAAAGTAAGGATATATTTTGGGCTTAAAATTCGTTTCTTTGAGCTGACGGGATGCTGAACTCGGAGGCAAGGGCTCATTTCCCCATTTGGTCTTTCACTTCGTTTCAAAACTCGAACATTTTGTTTGCCGTTCCCTTTCCTGTGTCCCATAAAATAGCCAAAAGGCCTCTGGGAAATCCGAGTTATTTAGGTTTGAGTGGAAAAACCTTCGAGTTTGAGAGGTTTTAACGCATTTTTTCTGCGGGAGTTCAGATGGACACTTGAAAACATCGAATTAAGGAGGTATTTGACTTGTAAGGGTTTGAGCTGTCCATGTTCCATTTTATTTTGAAATTAAATTTTGATTGTTTCTGAAACTGAAGCATGAAAAATTATACGGAACTAATTGACGCACTGTGACTCTTCGAAAGTTAGCATGTGTTGATATTCTCTCGTCCAAATCCGAAAATACGAATCAATAAATCTGGTATCGTTTGGAATCTGTCCCCCAGTTCGACGATGGAAAGACTCCATTTGACGGAGAGATCTCAGTTGAAGCTGTGACGAAGTTCGTCCAAACCAACGCCCTTCCATTGGTCGTCGAATTCAACCAAGACACTGCCCAGAAGGTTTTCGGCGGCGACATCAAGTCCCACGTTCTCATCTTCGTCGGCAAGAGTGACAAGTCTGCCAACGAACTCGTCGATGCCGGTCGAACGATTGCCAAGGGTGTCAGAGACAAGATCCTGTTCGTTCACATCGACACTGACGAGGAGGAGCACAAGCGCATTCTCGAGTTTTTCGGAATGAAGGAATCTGACATCCCTGACGTGCGCATCATCAAGTTGGAGGAGGATATGACCAAGTACAAGCCAGCTGAAGTTGTCAAGGACAAGGCTGCTCTTGAAGCATTCGTCAGCAGCTTCTTGGACGGGAAACTTAAGGTACAGTATTGTACATTACAGTACTTACCACTTCTACAGGAAGGCTTCGGTTGATGAACTTGGTTTATTTCTTACGGGAATTCTTGTTGGCTACTTGAAATGGCTGATTACTCTCATCCCGGTAGTTCATCGACCGAGTGATGTGAAGTTTCGTGGAATGGCTGATCCCTCGAAATTTCTTCATGAATCATGTAATAAATGACAAAGGAATAATCTCAGAAGGATGATTCCTGTATCAGAATTTATCTGGAAAAACACTCGTAGCAGGAAAAGCAATGCTTGATGAAAATAATATCGATAGAAACCTGTCCCTACGTTTAATGTGGGCTGCTTAATCGGATTTATGATAATCACTTCATGTGAAGTCCATTATCTGAAGCCGGGTCCACTTCCTGAAATTGAAATTGGTGGCATTCTAAGTCCACAATGCGAAGAATCCATGTATGCAGCTATCCAGGGGTGTTTTAAGGTGACACTCGCTTGTTGATACAGTACACCTGTTACAGAAATTACTCAGTATTTTAAGAGAAAATGTGCGACTTCCTTCCACGTTTCCTCGTTAGGGGAACAAATGCGACGGCGATTTCCTGCTATTTTCATTGTTTTCACATTAAAACCCAATTGATAATTATTTCAAGTAGATGTTGCCTGAAAAACTAGCACGAGTTGTGTCGATACTTAATTCGTCTTAGCATAATTTAATTAACATGGTAGAGAAACACGATGCAACTTAATTAAATTCGACGTTATCGGTGTAATGACGTTAGAGAAAATCATTGTGGACTTCGTACGGTTGTCATATAAAGAAATCATGAAACTTTTTTCTACCTTCAATCCTCGCTTTTCATAGATTTTCTGACTCTTTTTCGGCGTTTCATTTTTGTTAGTTTCTTTCTGAAAAATATCTTGACGTTATGTTCATTGTTACAGCCACATCTGTTGTCCGAAGACATTCCAGAGGACTGGGATAAGCACCCCGTGAAGGTCCTTGTGTCCAAGAACTTCGACGAAGTCGCACTGGACAAGGAGAAGGATGTTTTGGTTGAGTTCTACGCTCCGTGGTGCGGACACTGCAAACAACTTGCCCCGATCTACGATCAGGTATGTGCTAATTTCTTGATGCACAATTTTTGTTCGTGTTTCCAGTTCTGAAGATGTTCCGTTATGATTTTAGCTTGGTGAGAAGTACAAGGAAAATGACAAGATCGTCGTCGCCAAGATGGACGCCACTACCAACGAACTTGAGCACACCAAGATCCAGTCTTTCCCTACCTTGAAATTGTACCGCAAGGGAGATAATAAGGCAAGTTTCTCGACAAGCTTTGAATTCATTGTTTCTTGAGTTGATTGAAGGATTTTCGCAAGTTACTGTATTCATGTGAAGAATTTTCGTCTTTGAAAATTTAAATTCTCTGATGCTTCTAATGTGAACTACATCTTGGTAGAAAGAAATTTATGAAGTATCTACAGTATTTCTAGCAGCAATTTTAAATTAACACGCGCAGTAATGATATTTAATTGAAAGTTAAATTTGACCAGATTTCAACTATTTTAATAATTTTCTTGGCAACCCTGTGAGCATTAGATAAGATTAGAGGCTTGACTGCGTAATGTTGAAATATTCTTACAGGATGGTATCGCATTACATTTGTGATTTGTGGTTCATTTATCAAACTCTCCGTTCCCTTCGTGATTATAAAAATTCCAAATATTATTTTGGAGAGTTGATTGAGGTTTAAAAATATCATTGGAGTTTTTCTATTAATTCTCTCTCACTATACGTGACTTGAAAAATTAAAGTGAGCAGTTTTTTGTGTAGGAAGGATGTTAATTTTGGAAATGTCTTCATTCATTTTTATCTTAATTTCCCCTTGGACTCCTGCAGATAATTGAGTATAATGGAGAAAGAACCCTCGAGGGTTTGTCGAAATTTTTGTGCCGCCAAGGCTTTCGTTGAGGCTGCCGGCTCTAATGACGACTACCCATTTGCCATCACCAACGTGCAACAGATTGCTGAGGAGCACCAAATCGCCGAAGATTCCGTTACTCTTTTTAAGAAGGTGTCGTAATCTTCTCTAAATGATTTTTTAATTGAGGGGTGCAAATTTGTAACTAGCTTGGCTAGAAATGTATAAGATACAGTCGAACTTCAAGGGACCAGCGAAATATTCGAATTCGGGAGGTTATACGTTAAGGGAACGAGCATTACTGGAAAAGTAAGATATTTTGGGCTTAAAATTCGCTTCTTCGAGCTGACGGGATGCTGAACTCGGAGGCAAGGGCTCATTTCCCCATTTGGTCTTACACTTCGTTTCAAAACTCGAAGAACATTTTGTTTGCCGTTCCCTTTCCTGTGTCCCATAAAATAGCTTAAGGCCTCTGGGAAATCCGAGTTATTTAGGTTTGAGTGGAAAAACCTTCGAGTTTGAGAGGTTTTAATGCATTGTTTCTGCGGGAGTTCAGATGGACACTTGAAAAAATCGAATTAAGGAGGTATTTGACTTGTAAGGGTTTGAGCTGCCCATGTTCCATTTTATTTTGAAATTAAATATTGATTGTTTCTGAAACTGAAGCATGAAAAATTATACGGAACTAATTGACGCACTGTGACTCTTCGAAAGTTAGCATGTGTTGATATTCTCTCGTCCAAACCCGAAAATACGAATCAATAAATCTGGTATCGTTCGGAATCTGTCCCCCAGTTCGACGATGGAAAGACTCCATTTGACGGAGAGATCTCAGTTGAAGCTGTGACGAAGTTCGTCCAAACCAACGCTCTTCCATTGGTCGTCGAATTCAACCAAGACACTGCCCAGAAGGTTTTCGGCGGTGACATCAAGTCCCACGTTCTCATCTTCGTCGGCAAGAGTGACAAGTCTGCCAACGAACTCGTCGATGCCGGTCGAACGATCGCCAAGGGTGTCAGAGACAAGATCCTGTTTGTTCACATCGACACTGACGAGGAGGAACACAAGCGTATTCTCGAGTTTTTCGGAATGAAGGAATCTGACATTCCTGACGTGCGCATCATCAAGTTGGAGGAGGATATGACCAAGTACAAGCCAGCTGAAGTTGTCAAGGACAAGGCTGCTCTTGAAGCATTCGTCAGCAGCTTCTTGGACGGGAAACTTAAGGTACAGTATTGTACATTACAGTACTTACCACTTCTACAGGAAGGCTTTGGTTTATTTCCTACGGGAATTCTGGTTGGCTACTTAAAATGGCTGATGACTCTTATCCGGGTAGTTCATCGACCGAGTGATGTGAAGTTTCGTGGAATGGCTGATCCCTCGTCATTTCTTCATGAATCATGTAATAAATGACAAAGGAATAAACACAGAAGGATGATTCCTGTATCAGAATTTATCTGGAAAAACACTCGTTGCAGGAAAAGCAATTCTTGATGAAAATAATATCGATTGAAACCTTTCCCTATTTTTAATGTGGGCTGCTTCATCGGATTTATGAATGATGATCACTTAATGTGAAGTCCATTATCTGAAGCCGGGTCCACTTCCTGAAAAGGAAATTGGTGGCATTCTAAGTCCACAATGCGAAGAATCCATGTATGCAGTTTTCTATGGGTGTTTTAAGGTGACACTCGCTTGTTAATGCAATATACCTGTTGTTCAGAATTTACTCAGTATTACAAGAGAAAATGTGCGACTTCCTTCCACGTTTCCTCGTTAGGGGAACAAATACGACGGCGATTTCCTGCTATTTTAATTGTTGTTCTCGCATCGAAGCCCAATTGAGAAATATTTCAAGTAGATGTTGCCTGAAAAACTAGCACAAGTTGTATCGATATTTAATTCGTCGAAGCCCAATGTAATTAACATGGTAGAGAAACACGATGCGACTTGATTAAATTCGACGTTATCGGTGTAATGACGTTGGAGAAAATCATTGTGGACTTCGCACGGTTGTCATATACAGAAATCATTCAACTTTTTATTTTACCGTCAATCCTCGGTTTTCATAGATTTTCTGATACTTTTTTGGCGTTTCATTTTTGATCTTCATATTCTGTTCACTGTTACAGCCACATCTGTTGTCCGAAGACATTCCAGAGGACTGGGATAAGCACCCCGTGAAGGTCCTTGTGTCCAAGAACTTCGACGAAGTCGCACTGGACAAGGAGAAGGATGTTTTGGTTGAATTCTACGCTCCGTGGTGCGGACACTGCAAACAACTTGCCCCGATCTACGATCAGGTATGTGCAAATTTCTTGATCACAATTTTTGTTGTTTCTAGTTCTGAAGGTGTTTCGTTATGATTTTAGCTTGGTGAGAAGTACAAGGAAAATGACAAGATCGTCGTCGCCAAGATGGACGCTACTACCAACGAACTTGAGCACACCAAGATCCAGTCTTTCCCTACCTTGAAATTGTACCGCAAGGGAGATAATAAGGCAAGTTTCTCGACGAGCTTTGAATTCATTGTTTCTTGAGTTGATTGAAGTATTTTCGCAAGTTACTGTATTCTTGTGAAGAATTTTCGTCTTTGAAAATTTAAATTCTCTGATGCTTCGAATGTGAACTACATCTTGGTAGAAAGAAATTTATGAAGTATCTATTTCTAGCAGCAATTTTAAAGTAACACGCGCGGTGATGATATTTAAATGAAAGTTACGTTTGACCAGATTTCAACTTTTTTAATAATTTTCTTGGCAACCCTGTGAGCCTTAGATATAATATTTTTACAGGATGGTATCGCATTACATTTGTGATCTGTGGTTCATTTATCAAACTCTCCGTTCCCTTTGTGATTATAAAAATTCCAAATGTTATTTTGGAGAGTTGATCGAGGTTTAAAAATATCATTGGAGTTTTTCTATTAATTCTCTCTCACTATACGTGACTTGAAAAATTAAAGTGTGCATTTTTTTGTGTAGGAAGGATGTTAATTTTGGAAATGTCTTCATTCATTTTTATCTTAATTTCCCCTTGGACTCCTGCAGATAATTGAGTATAATGGAGAAAGAACCCTCGAGGGTTTGTCGAAATTTTTGGATACCGATGGAGTTTACGGCCAAGCCGCTCCAGACATGCCCGAGGTGAACATTTTTTTACGTATTGATGTATCTAATCCCGTTTGTTTTCTTGCTTGTTTCTTCCATGTCTGGTTTCGGGTTCAATGACCTTCTCCCGCACGCGTGCATGAACTAACCTAGGTGGTTGATTATTCCGGCCCGAGAACCCTTGAAGGGCTCTCGGACTTTCTGGAAGGCCGTGAGAATCCTGATAAGGTAACTGACGGGGATTCCATGTTGCTTTCTCATTTGACTCTTTGACCATATTTTGTTTGTAATGTGAATCTGTCTCGGTTCGGACGTTTATTTTTTATTTTTTGGAAGCTGATGCAAACCCGAACGTCGTCATCTTACGTTCTTAAAATTACTGTTGAAGATGTTTCGCATGTGCCTTGAATATTTTCTTACATAATTATGGCATTTTTAAAGTAAATTTTATTGTAATATTTTTTCATTTACTTGTTATCGTGATTTAAAATAGTTTTCCATTCAACCTTGTTGAAAAAACCGTCAGGATTTTGGCGCAGTTCTCTGATCAGTTCTTTCATCAGTTCGCAATAAGTTAAAAGCGAAGATTCGCGTCTGGCAAAGTTCATGAATGAACTCTTTTAAACATAAGCATATTCTGCTTTATTGCAAATTTTAACCCTATTTGATTATTTTATTGTTCTTACGCTCACACATTCTTCAACTACATTTCTCTGAAATAATTTTTCCTCTGAAATGATTTCTGCCTTGAAATAATTTTTCTATGTAACTGAATCCATGATTGACGCAGTCCCACTTCTTGTTCTTATGTTCAGTTAAATGTGGCGGATGGGTTTTATTGTTGAACATACTAACATTGTTCTTGTGGTTTTCATTGTTTTCGAAATTACTGTACTGTACTCTTATTTTGTAACATTTTCCTCGTGTTATGCATGATACCTTTTCTGAATTGTAAGGAATGCTTCTTGCATGTTCATCGAAATGTCTTCGTGATTTCTAATATTATTATAAGGTGATCTAAGGTGTGCTTTTATCTGCTTTAAAAATTTTTATTTTGGGGTTGGGGCTTAATTCATTTTGTCGTTCGTTCACGAAATCATGATGGGTTTTGAAATATTTCTTTTAAGGAGGAGGAACAAGAGGAGGAAGAGGACACTCCTAGCAAGGACGAGTTGTGATCGAACATTTCGGCATTGCCCGGCACTTTCCTTGTTGGCTTTTTTTTCTATGGCTGATTCGGGATAATTTATTTTTGTCGCCTTCCACAATGTTTACGTTTTTTCGGTGTTACGATGGAATTCTGAAGTGATTGACGGTGTGAACGTGCATTTCTTCCGTTGAGAAAAAGAGTACGCAGCTTCCCAGGCGCTTTTGTTATTTTTTTTCGCGCGAAATTCTAACCGGAGGTAAATCTTAAGAGGAATGTGGATAGAACGTGATCTTAATAAAAGGAAGAGGACAGGAAACAAAATTGCGCAAATAGGAAACATTGGGGGGGAAATTGTTTCGTGCCGTGGGTTTTATTTTTGTCTCGTTATGCCTGTTTTATGTGCTGAGGTGCTCGTGAGGACCAAAATTCTGGCAGTGTGATGTTGGGGTTTAAAAGAAGCTGTCAGTCCTGAGACGCACCTGTTATATTATTTTGTTTCTTCTGGGATTGTTGTCGAAATTTATTTTTATTTCTTTGAGTTCCGCGTTCCAGGTTAAAATAAGGCCCGTAGCCCTGACTACTTCTCCGGTGCTAACCAGTCAACACGTTCGCACAAGAAGCCATGAGTAACTTTTACAAAATTTAAGAAAAACCAACTTAAACCGGCAATTGAAAAAAAAACGGAAAGGCGCTTCGCATGCCTCGTGAAGGTGGATGAATTATAGAGAAGCCCATGACCTGTTTGTTGAAATTTCATTTGTTTCGCTGCAACAATGACACTATGATATGTGAAATATGCTCCTGGTGTCCTGGAAGAGAGTGGCTTTCAAAATTTAAATTTATGAGAATAAAAAATCGAATTTTATTTCACTTGGATAATTCTGGATGTCATAGAATTCCTACAATATTAAACCTATACTGTACAGTAACCTCTTCTTAGCCTGAAGCCATTTGGATTAAACCTGTGCTACAATAACTTGGTAGCCTAAACTAAATTTTGGCTGTACTGTACTGAAGGGGCCTCAGGATGAAATTTGTTGTGAGAGTTAATTTTTTACAACAAGGAAGGTTCCAGTAGCAATTGAATGCATTCATTTTTCCACCTTTATTCCTTTGAGAAATGTTCTAAGCTCCATAAGATTAAGCAATTTTTCTGAAATGCAGGGTGTTCCTCATGTTTCCAGTTTAAATTGAAATTCCAGGAGCAGTTGGAATTATGATTCATAACAATTGGGAAATGTGCCATATTGAGCTCAAGCCATGGAAACGTTGGCATACTCTGAACCATAATTCAAAGTCGAGAGTATTTAAAAATGGTGGAATATTTGAATCGCTTCAGAACCCTGTTCAAAGGTGGGACTCAACAATAATTTTGTCTTGAATAGATGATGATGGTACCCTATAAAGTTGCTGAGAACCATCAATGCTTGGTTTGTATGTCACAAGTGGATTTTCATCATCTGTGATGGTGAAAAAATCCTCACAGTTCATCCAGGGATCAACGACCGATTCAGGTGGCTGAACCAGCGGATATTTTATTCCGGGCATCGGGACTGATGAAGAGGCCACGATTGGTCAGTTGTGCAAGCGTGTTCTTCGGTACTCATTGAAAATGTTTTAAATTCTTTTTGGTTGAATTTGGCCGTTAACTTTTTTTTTTCGGAAAGGCGCTTCGCATGCCTCGTGAAGGTGGATGAATTATAGAGAAGCCCATGACCTGTTCGTTGAAATTTCATTTGTTTCGCTGCAACAATGACACTATGCTATGATGTGAAATATGCTCCTGGTGTCCTGGAAGAGAGTGGCTTTCAAAAGTTTAAATTTATGAGAATAAAAAATCGAATTTTATTTCACTTGGATAATTCTGGATGTTATAGAATTCCTACAATATTAAACCTATACTGTACAGCAACCTCTTCTTAGCCTGAAGCCATTTGGATTAAACCTCTGTTACAATAACTTGGTAGCCTAAATTAAATTTTGGCTGTACTGTACTGAAGGGGCCTCAGGATGAAATTTGTTGTGAGAGTTAATTTTTTACAACAAGGAAGGTTCCAATAGCAATTGAATGCATTCATTTTTCCACCTTTATTCCTTTGAGAAATGTTCTAAGCTCCATAAGATTAAGCAATTTTTCTGAAATGCAGGGTGTTCCTCATGTTTGTAGTTAAAAATTGAAATTCCAGGAACAGTTGGAATTATGATTCATAACAATTGGGAAATGTGCCATATTGAGCTCAAGCCATGGAAACGTTGGCATACTCTGAACCATAATTCAAAGTTGAGAGTATTTAAAAATGGTGGAATATTTGAATCGCTTCAGAACCCTGTTCAAAGGTGGGACTCTCTACAATAATTTTGTCTCGAATAGATGGTGATGGTACCCTGTGAAGTTGCTGAGAACCATCAATGCTTGGTTTGTATGTCACAAGTGGATTTTCATCATCTGTGATGGTGAAAAAATCCTCACAGTTCATCCAGGGATCAACGACCGATTCAGGTGGCTGAACCAGCGGAATCCCTGAGCTTGAGAATGTACCAGGGCTAGTAAGAAGTCAATGCCCTGTTGATGATGAACAGGTGGTGCGATAAAAGCTTGGAGCTCTGTGGATCTTAGATTTCGTTCTATGGTCATCATGGCCGACAAAGAGCGACGATTTGGCGGGCAACTGCTGCAGTTCTCGTTCGTTGTTTTCATTCCAGGCATCTCGTGTGAGAGATTTTCGCGCTATTGCGGTTGTGCGCCAAATTATGTTCAATTTTTGGATGGAGATATAATCAATTACTGTGGATACATTGTTGAAAGTTTGTCGCTTCGAACATAAGGATTCCAAACGTATTCTTTCGCAGGGTTGTGTCGAGTGTTCCTTCACAATACAGAGGACAGAATCAACGCCAAGATGCCGACGAAAGTAATCAACTATCCCTCTGAAAAAGGTGAATACTCGTGAATTCATCTCTTGAAAACTGTCGTCCTATATGCCAATGTTCTGTTCCGCAGAGAAAATCAAGGACTTCCTGGAAAATTACATGTCCATGACCGACGATGGCACTACCATCCCGCACTTCGTCGAAACGCTTCGCAAACTCGCTCACCGTGAACAAGTATGCTATC